GTGGGTGGGCAGACTAGGGTGGTGGGTGGGTGGGTAGAGATCCGGGGAAAGGTTATGCCAAGGATGGTCACCATTAAAATGGAGCGAATGGTACGTCTCTTTCCTGACGGTATTTGACTGGCAAAAGAAAATGTTCATTGAAGCTGGTGGTAAAGATGTCCATCAATAATAACAATAATAATAAAAAACACTGAAAAGGCATCTTTTTCTAAACATCTTAAAAGATATAAAGATGCCTATCAATTATAATAATAATAATAATAATAATAATAATAATAATAATAATAATAATAAAGCATTAAAAAGGCATATTTTTCTAAACGCCATCAAAAATATAAAGAAATATAAATATATAGATATTAAGCTCCCCATGAAGTAACATCCAGGTTACCTAACAGATACTCCACTGTAAATAAATTATTATAATTAATATCAATCAATAAATAATTAATGAATACATCAAGTGATTGCAGAGAGTGCAACTGCTGTCTAAAGGGAGGGGGGAGAGAAGATATGCCAAAGGAAAAATAATAATTAATTAAGAACAAGGAGTCATCTCAAGCATCTGTGCTCTTGCTCTCAATAATATTTATAGTTCAAAAATTTCCGAAAAAGGCTTAGACTCTATTGACCAAAACATATGTACCCTTTTAATAAAAGTGAAATAAATTATCCTATTATAATAAACCATATAATTTATTTAATTTAAAAAATCACAGAATTTAACTTACCTTTTAAAGTGAATTTTCCCTCTCACATCTCAACTCCTAAAATAAATTGTCTCAGATCTCTGGCGACAAGGGAAAACTGTAACATTGTATCATGTTGTCGGGAGCAGCTGGAAGGAGGAAGACATGTCAGATTATGTGCCAAAGGAATCCTCATCGTGTGCAATATGGTGGCCTCATGAGATCATGAGTGTGCGGACTGTGCACGGTCCAGTAGACTGCATGACTGGCAGACAGGAAGGGAGAGAGTGGAAGAGAGGTGATATTTGCGCTGACAGGAAGAGAGAGAGATCGAGAGAAAGGGAGAGACTGGCAGCCGAGCTGAGAAAGACATTTTTGTGACTAGACAGGAGAGAGAGAGAGAGAGAGAGAGAGAGAGAGAGAGAGAGAGAGAGAGAGAGAGAGAGAGAGAGAANTAACGCTGGTGGTACAATTATTTCTGTTCCACTTTTTCTTACAAAGTGTATAAAAAAACATATATCAATGTGAAAGAAACAATGATAAAGACAGATGTATAGGGAAATATAAATAAAACAACTTACCTTTTCTATAACTTTGTGCCTTTACTCTCGTAGGGAACTTTTGTGCAACTTGGGAATTTCACCAATTTTTTCAGACAGCTAAAACAATAAAACAAATACATTCAAGACTGTGGACCAGGTGTGTTTTTGTCTTTTGTATAATGATGATAAAAAAGATGAATCATTTCTGAAGACAGACGGTCATGTGACTAACAAGTCACGTGATCATTAAGGCTCTTTTATGTTACAAGTCAGAATTGTTATGCTGCATAGGTAAAAGTTTAATCTCTTCGGAAAACTATATACCTTTTTAAAAAATATTTAAATACAAAATAAAACAGAACTGCAGCATACTAATAACATTCTCAAAACTTGTATTTGCTGAAATAATAAAAAGAACTGGAACAAAAAATACATGGCATTAGTCGTTAATAAAAGTAGCCAGCCAAGCAGGATGCCATCTGAGTATATTTGCAGCTATGATCAGGTGGGCAACTGCTGAGGTGGTGATTGGATTTCCCATATTGAAAGTTATTTGTTGTCAGAAAAAAAGACTTGAAATTGCGATGCCAACAGAATGATTACAATATAAGGACTTCTCCTGACATAATTCATAAAGAGTCGAATTTATTCAACCAGCCAATGGGAATACATTCAAACTGATCATTTGTGCCCTTTCGCAGCTGCCTCAAGAAAACTATTTCTTTGATTTTCTTCTTTCCTCTGGATCTGAGCACTGTGATAAAAAAAATAGTTCTGATGTACAAACACAAGCAATCATCATAAAACTATTTTTAATTGGCACAATTTCTATTCAAGGTAATAACCTTCTCAGTCACTGCCATAAATGCTCTCTTCTGCCAATATCTGTCATTAAAAAACAATTTCACTGACACATTTTCTATTCTAGGCAACTAACATTCAATCACTCTGAGAACAGGCCAGCTGGTACAATATAATATGTCAGCTCCAGGGGGTCAGTTTTACAAAATAAAAAGGACATCAGTACTTATTAATTAAATTGGACTAAACTTGTAAGACCAAAAATTTTAGTCTGTTTGAACAAAGATAGATCAGCATTATTATATGTCCATTGATAATATGAAACATAAAATAGGAAAAATGTATTAGAAAACCATAGGTGTCTTATTTTTAAATTAATGGAGTTCTATGAATTTATCCTGAATTGTAGTAGACCAAAATTTTCAGCCATAAACTTAAAAAATAAACGACGACCCCCCAAGGCATGTACCATTAAGGTACCCACTTAATTCTCCCTCCCAGCTCCAGGGAGTATTGCTACAAAAGGACTAAACTTTAAGACCGAACATTTTAGTCTCTGTTTTGAACAAATTAAGACAGATCAGCAATTATGAGTCCACTGATAATATGAAACATTATAAAATAGGTAGTTTTAGAAAAATTATAATAATAGTTATCTTATTTTGGCAATTATCCCCTAGCAGCTTCAGTAGGCATGCCAGACATTTAAGAAGCTTACAATGAATGCAATTTAGTAAGAATCCTCACAGACTTAGATCAATTCAGCTAATACAATGAGTTTATGGGAAGGCTCCCTAAAGTCTCAAATAATTAATGCACGTCCTCAGTATGTTGGTGCCTGTATGCTGTAACATGATAAACACACACAATAAAAATAGCAATGAAAAGTGACTATGCAATCCACTGGTGACTCATATAATATATATAATTGAATTACAATTGTATACATTCACCACAATGACTATACAGTCTGACATATACTTCCATCTCTTCATATAACATTATACCATGATACCTGCCTGCATGGGTTGCAAATTTTGTGCATTAAATCTATGCTAACTCTCTACATTTTTGTTTTGTCATTTACTTTCAATCTCAATTCAAAAAACTGTTTTAGTTACAAAGGTTCATGATGATGAATTTCCTTTTTTTTAAAGAGAATAACAAAGTAATTATAACAGAGATTTTGAAAAATACATGTACAGACCCAGCAGCCAACTCCATACATTTACTGGCACACATATATTCTCCATATTTAGTACTGAGTCCCATTGTTTCCTGGTGTTACAGTTCTATGGTAAATAAGACACCATAAGAAAATGGATCTACGCATTTCTAAGTACTGTCATAATCATGTCAACTCTGTATGTAACGTATACTTATCAAGATGTCATCATCACCTGAATACTCTTCTCCATTTCACTGATCTCCCCAATGCCTTCATGAGAAAAAGACTATAATATCACCATACATGCTGGCGCTTCCCAGGTAGAATACACGTACATCCCAACTTCACCATGATCAAGCCATACTCTTACAGACTAGAATTGGCCAATACAGTCCAGAGGAAGGACTTTTAATTAACAGCAGGATGTATGATTGCTACTTGGGAAATTGAATCAATTTTTCATGTGCTAATCAGTGGGGAGGCCATTACAGGATTGAACTTATGCAGAAACCATGAAAAATGAATATCTACGGAGCCCTCCAAGAATGCAGATTCCGCCAAAGAAAAAATTGCGAAAAAAAAAAAAATTCTTGATATAAAATATTACAATACCTGGATTCAGTTGATAAATGTCCATCTTGAAAATTTCATTAAGATTTTAGAAGAGCTTTTTGAGTACCTTTTTTTTTAACAAATGGAGGAAAAGACACACAAACGACAATGAAAGCAAAGCCACCTTCGTTAGAGGATTGAGGAAATACACTCTCTTATGTATAGTACATATGACAACAGAACACCAGGTCAATTAAAAATAATCTCTTATCACAATTTTTAAGTAAGTTTTATATTAAACGACTGAGATTATGTATAATAATTCTTTTAATCTTTGATTTTCTGGACTTACGGCCGTAGTCTTATAACCAGACATCAAAGATGGCAAATATACAGACCCTTCACAAAAATAAAAATAAAATAAAAAAATTCACTCCATTTTTAAGTATCCAGGCACAAATACTGCAATAAAATTTTAAGGCGTAAGAAACTCTATCTGAATCATAAGGACCAACCTTCCGGTCACCGATGGATGACCTTCTAGACTTACTGAGCAATGACATAACCGGAATGGAAGATTTGACAAAGCCAACTCGAAACCATTGTCACTATAGTATTGAATTATTATTCACAGTGGTGACTCACCTTCAGATCCTGATTAGTGAGAAGGCGGGGGGGGGGGGGGGGGGGGGGCAAAATAAAAGGATCTACTAGCAGATCCTGGATATTGAGAAGGGTCAAAATAAATTTTTTTAAAAAATTCGGGCAGGTGCTGTCTGATATTGAGAGAGGAGGGCTCGAGGGAGGGGAGGTCAAAGTAAGAAGGAAAGCAATGTTTTTCATTGTATTACTTAAAGCAGGGGCGGATTTAGGCCGTCTTCTGGGTCTTCTGGAAGACGGTCAGATTTTCAAGTTTACATTGTCAGCCATCTAATGTTTTCTGTCGGAAGACGGTCAAAAATGGAAGATGGATCAACAAAGATAATTTGGAAGACTGTCAGAAAATATCTCTGGATCCGCCCCTGTATAGTCGTTCATTCTCTGGCATATATTGAACAAAAAGAGATGAGGGGAGAGAGGGAGAAAGCGACCAATGATAAACTATCAATGATTTCGTTTTTTTGTCATATTTATGTCATTTGGCAGAAAACAAAGTAAATATACCATTCTGTGTGACTTATTGAATATAATCTCTTAAAACTTACAGGAATTTGGGTAATCAATTAATAGATTGGACAGTAATTATCTGGCTGAACTGATACAAATTTGAAAATTCTGTTGATGAATATCTTTTCTTCTCCCATTCAACCTCTGTAATCTTATTTATAATAAGTTTAACTGGAAGACATCTTCCGCACTGTCAGATATATCCAGACGCAGACAATTTATAGGCAATAATCCGATCCGGGCCACTTCCCATAAGATACATTATATCAAATTAGAAACATAACACCACACATTCTGCCTAATATGTGCCTATTGAATGCAATACATTATGCAGAACATAAAAGTAATTTACAGGATTTTGTCTGGCAAAAATAAATAAATTAATAAATAAATAACTGACATAAAGAGGGTAGTTTAAGATTCAAGCCTTTAAGTGCCCTGAGATGTGTATATATTAAAAATGTCTGTCCTCTGACTAAATGTCCCACAGTGATGTCGGAAAACCCTACCTTTGCAAAAAATGACAGCTGTAATTGTTTTCCTTATTTCCTGTCAAAACTGGTACAAATTCACAATTTCTATATGTCAACTCTACCTGAAAACCCTACCTTTACAAAAATGACAGCTGAATTCGTTATCCTCAATTCCCTTCAAAACTGGTATAAATTCAAACATTCTGTGTCACAATCAATTAATTTCATTAACCTAGAGCAGCAGATACTTAAATAACGATATCTTACCTCGACTTCTTATTGTCACAATCAAGTCCTTAACCAAGAATGACACAAACAAATAATATCATCTTACTTCAAAGAAATAGTATGAAGACAGCCACGACTTCTAATTGTCACAATCGAGTCCTTAACCAAAAATGACACATACAAATAATAATATCTTACTTCAAAGAAATAGCATAAAGACAAGAAGACGTCAAAGGTTTATTGTGTCAAATAATAACTCACTCCTTCACCAAGGAGACACAGTCAGCCTAGAACTCCATTCTATCCACAGGAATGTCCATTATGACTTCATCATGACCAAATAAGACAGTTTAAGTGGGGAAGACAAAAAATGAAGCACACGTCTCTTAGAGGCCACTTTGTCCTGAGGTCATGCTATGGGACACTTTTGATTTATTTGACCACGAGAGGGATGGACCCAAGTCTGAATAAAAATAACAGCTGGTATGGTAATCAATGATGAGACTTTTCCGACTTTTGTCGGAATTCTGACTTTTTAAGGGTCATTTGGGTCATTCTTGTGAATCCTGTACCCTGGACCCTTGGCCAATTTTCCTCCTTTTTCAGTAAGGACTGGTCTCATCCCTGGGTAATGGCGCTATCATTTCAACTAGGAAAGACTGTCAATTCTTTAGGAACATAATTTCGCAAAAAAATGTTGGTGCTATTCTGAGAGCTTTCAAAGAGAG